TCTCTCTGTCAAATAAATAAATAAAATCTTTAAAAAAAAAATAGTACATTTAAATACCAAATTTTAGAATTGCATTGTTCGATATGATAGCATCAATCATGTGTAGCTATTTAAATTTAAATGTATTAAAAGTAAATAAAATTTAAAGTTGCTCAGCTTCACTAACCACATTTCAAGTGCTAAATGCAGCTGGTGGCTACCAAATTGGGCAGCACAAACATAAACCATCTCTTTCATTGCAGAAAGTCCTAGTAGGTTGCTCTGGCCTACGGTGCTACCAAAAAAAAAAAAAAAAATTTGCATATACTCCAGCTGTGCCTTATTTCCTCAGACCCAGTGCTTTTCTTGGTTTCTGTTCTTAGCTTTTCAGTAGATTCCTGAATCACTTGAACAATATGCTTACACCTTTGCTTGATTTGCCAACATTAGGTAGTATTACTGATTTCATGAAAGATGTGGAATTCCTTGCTTATTTTTTACATAGCTTTACTGTGGTGAAATAGACATAAAATTTAACATTTTAACCATTTTTAGATGTACAGTCCAGTGACAAGTACATTCGCATTGTTGTGCACCCATTACCACTATTTTCACAACTTTTTCATCATCATTAAAACAATAATTCACTGTTGTACTTTCTGTCTCTATGAATTTGACTGTTCTAGGTATCTCATACATGTGGAATCATGCAATATTTGTCCTTTTGTGTTTGCATTATTGGACTTAGCATATTTTCACGGTTTATCCATGTAACCCATCAGAATATTATTCCTTTTTATGGCTGAAGAATATTCCATTGTATATAGGCTACACTTTGTACACTCTGTTGATGGACACTTGGGATGTTTCTACCTTTTGGTTATTGTGAATAATGCTGCTTTGAACAAGTCCCTGTTTTCTTTTGGGTATATACCTTGGAGTGGAATTACAGAGGTCATATGGTCATTCTATGTTTAGCTCTTTGAGAAACCAGCAGACTTTTCCATAGTAGCTGCACCATTTTATATTCCCTCCAGCAATGCACAGGGATTCCAGTTTTTCTACATCTTCACCAACACGTTACTTTTCATTTTTTTTTGACAGTAACCATCCTAGTGGATACGAAGTGGTATCTTACTGCGGCTTTGATTTACCTTTCCCTAATAATCAGTGATGTTAAACATCTTTTCATGTGCTTATTGGTCATTTATATACCTTCTTTGGAGAAAGGTCTATTTAAGTTCTTTGCCCGTATCTTAACTGCCTTGTTTATTTTTGTCTTGACTTATAGAAATTCTTTATATATTCTGGATCTTAATCTTTTATCAGATACGTGGTTTACAAACATTTCTCCCATTCTGTGGGTTATCTTTTCAGTTTCTCTCTATAGTATTCTTTGATACACAGATGTTTTAAATTTTGATGAAGTGCAATTTATCCTTTTTTTAAGTTGCCTGTCCTTTTGATATCACAATGAAAAAATCATTCATTGGGGCGCCTGGGTGGCTCAGTTGGTTAAGCGACTGCCTTCGGCTCAGGTCATGATCCTGGAGTCCTGGGATCGAGTCCCGCATC